CTCTCGCATGCTAAGCGAGCGCTCTACCATATGAGCTACATCCCCATGTTATTTTTCGTATTATTCAATCACTTCATGCACTTTTAAGAATAATTATAATATTCAAGAGAATCGTGCTCAGTCTCTGTTATCTCCTCGATTTATTCTATATAATTAAGAGGCATCTTTCTTCTTCTAGAAGTTTACCATACGTACAGCACGATTGAACCGACAATTTAATATTATGAAAGTTATAAAATAGAAATACAATACATATTCTCACATTTTCTGATTATTTCATTGAATTTTTAGCATGTTCTTTTGACTATATCATATAACAGTTATAATACAATTGAATGTATAGATACAATATTTGATTACTAGATTTCGTTATAACTATAACAAATTAATATACTATGATTGTAATGAAGAAATATTTAACGAAAAAATCTAAGTTATAACGCCGACGATTTGCGTGTGCATTTTCTGGAAAGAAGTAAACTATTATGATATGTTTACTTCATTTCATATTATATAGTATTTATTTAAGAAAAGTTAAAAATATGTGTGACATACAGTTTCTCCTATAAGTTTACAAATCAGTTAGTAATAACATAAAGCATAGAATAGATTAGAAAACAATGATTAAAATCGTATTGTTCATTATTCGAAAATTTTCTTCATGATGTTTTGTTAATTTCATCGTTTTTTTCTTCATTTTCTCTATACCAATAGTTTGGAGAAAAATATTGAACTGTTTTTCTATATGTCCAATAAGGTGTTAACCAAATAGTAATAATAGCAAGACCCACCATCATATTAATTGTATATATCCATGGAAGATTCTGTTTAATATAATTCCAATCTTGATAAATACCATACCAACAATAGATTTCATAAACTGAACGTAAATGAAAAATATAAATTAATATCCATTGATTTATTTTCCAAGCTTTTGTTTTTTCAAGATTTAATTTTAATAAACACCAACAAATACATGTAAATGGTGTACTTATTTGAAGAAGAAAAGTTTTAGCTGCATAATAATGACCTCGATTATAATAAGCAACACTAAAACATCCATTAAGTACAAAAAAATGATGTATATGCAATTCTTTTGAAAATCCATGATATTTTATATCGAAATAAATTAATGCAAATTCTTCAAATAAAAAATAACCTGTTAAAATGCATGTAAATATCCATGATTCATCAGTGGATGCAAATACATGATCAAGAGCAATACGTCTATCTATATAAACCATATATGCAGCTAGATAAATATAACGATAAATTTGATTAGAATTTAATTTAAATGAATAAAATCTTACCCCATAATATTGGTAATCCAAATATAAATCTAGTTATTGATAATTGCCAAAGCATTTGTTCTTTTGCTTTCATTGCTCTATATTATATAGAATTCATCTTTAATATTTCTTAAATAATAATATGAAATCAGATATACCTGACTTTAGGTATAAGTTGTTTTGAAATCCATCTTGCTATCAAAGATAATGTTAACCAACTAAAATAACTAAGAACAATACGAAATACATTATCACGTAATGTTTGGTTTGATTGTGGAATGTTGAGGGGTATTTCTATTTGTATATTAACCTATAATATTTGTTTCTCAATATAAGAAATCATCTTTTAAGAAATAATCATTATCTTACCATTTTAATATTTCTAACACGTTAACGATAATGAACTGTGTGTATTCTCGAGGATATATACATTTCTAACGGACAGATAACCAAAGAGACTCTCTCTATTTGATTTTAGCTGTTATCAATATGAATGTATAGTGGGTACAAAGTTTATATTTTTATATAAATAGGTCATATATTTAAATATCTATGTCAATTGTTGAATATCTTACGAACGAATATCTGAATTTTAAGATAAATCGAATTTCTTATCGTTTTCATAGCTAATACATATATCTAATTTATCATTGATTAAAATTCTTAACTATCAAAACAGTTAATGAAAAGAATTGCTTAATGTTGGAGACTTCCTTTTTTTAACCTATTTTTCAAAGGTAAATAGGTCAATATAATTCATGAATTTTATCTTCTACACATAAAAAAATCATTCACAGTCATATGATATCGACTTAATTCCATAATATAAATCTAAATATCCACTTTTCTTTTTCTACTTGATAGTTTGAATTTCGGAAATAATTCAATGTACATTAGATGATGTTATTCTGTGTTTAATTATATATTTTTGACCTACTTTTTTTGATCTATATATTTCGAACACTTATTTTTCTACAGGTGAAAGATCTGTCGACAGAATGATCTATTTATTTTATTAATTCGGTTAGTGTGTCGTCATCAACACAATGAATGCTCCCCCTTCATGTCTTATCTGCAGTTTTGATCTTTCAACTTATATAAAATGTAGATGAATTACAAGACTATAAATAGTGTTATTATTTTATTCAGTTCCATACTTTCTAATTTACTTCAAAATAAAATGACTACAAACGCTTCCAAGAATTATTTTTGTATGTATATTGTTATTTTTATTATAAGAATTTTTTTTTCTAATTAAATTTCTA